ATATTTTTGATATTTATTTTATATATTTAAATGCCATTTAACAAAGAAAAATCAACCAAAAAAATGAGTTCGTGTGTCATAGGCTCGCCATCACTGTCCTAGCCTCTACCGCTTTTCTGCAGCTGCCATTCACTGCAGAGCCCCGTGGTAAGCGTTTCATATTACATAAGTTAGGTGTATCATCTCTAATCTTCAGAATCCTTTAAGGTTGACATTATTGCCATTTTCAGATGTGAGGACTGAGGCTCAAAGGTCAAGAACGCACAGCTAAGGAAGTCAGAGGTAGGGGGTCCTACCAGCCTTAAGGGTTTGGGCTGATCTCCAGATGGTACCATAAGTCGACCCAAGGCCACAGCCCTCGATAGCTATCCCCTCCCAATCCTCTTACCGGGCAGTGCCCCCTCCAAGACACTCCCTTTGAAGACATCCTGGGTAAACTTGGGCTTGTGGTCATTCTGGTCTGTCACGATGATGGAGATGTTCATGGGCTCTTCCACGGAGGCGCCGTTCTCTGACACAGCGTGGCCAAAGAGCTGCGGGTGCACAGGTCTGGGGTCAGCCTGGCGCCTCCCTTCCCACCAGGCCCCCGGGCCCTGCTTCTCATTGGATGCTAAAGGTTACTTACCTCGTACTTGGCAATCTTCTCCCGGTCCAGTGGCTTATTCAACAACAACCAGCCCGTTTCCTTCTCTATGGTGAAGACACCCTCAGGGGGGCTGTCTGCCCCAGGCCCTGTGATGCTGTAGAAAATCTTGGTGCCTCTGTCCTTGCTAGATTTGAGCTGGAAGCAAAATGAAAAATGACAGCTGACCAAGTGACAAATATCTCAGGGGTGAGGAGGCACTGCCTTATCAGGAACTGGTGCCAAGAGAGAGGCTTTCCTCGGTGGGCCCCAGTGCTCAGCACCAGAAACCTCTATTCAGGCCTTTAGGAGAGGGTCCCTGCAGCCACCAATGACGCCCAGGGAGAAGCACAGCCATACCTGATTCAGCCTCTGAGGGAAGGGACCCTTGCCATTCTCAGGGACAGACAGCGGCGGGAACACCCATTCTCTCTTGCGTCTTCGTAAGATACGTTTGGATGGGGAGGTCCTCAGAGCCTTACTTTCCTGTAAAGAGAGAAGACCCCTTAACCGAGATAGGCAAACAGCTGGAACACACCCACCATCCTCACCTACAGGAGATAAGGGTCAGGAGGCAGACCTGGATGGGTCTAAGGCAAAAGAAAAATTGGAATAATCTAAGGTCCAGAGGGACCAATAGAAAATTCTACAGTACATACATCTAGTGGAGTGCTATGCAGCTCTAAAAGTGAGGAGTAAGGAAGCTCTCTATGTGCTGACATGGAAAGACCTTTGATGTGTACTGTTGAGTGCAAAGAACAAGGTACAGAATGGTTTAGCATTTTATTTAACAAACACATAGTGCTTAACAGGTGCCAGGCACTGTTCCATCTTTTGTGTAAAAAGGTAGGAAAATAAGACCATATCTTCATATTTGCTTATTTATAGACAAAGTCTGCGGGAACACAGAAGAAATTAATAATGGTGATTATCTGTGGGAAAGGGGTGGAGAGGGCATTAGGCAGATGGAGAGAAAAAAGGGGAGGTAATTCATTGCATAATTTTAAATATATGTATTTTTTATTTTTGAACCATGTATACTAACTAGCATATTAGCTATTCAAAAAACTAAATTAAAAGAAACAATGTGTGACCAAGTGCCTCATGTCCATCTTCCCAGGGGCTCATGGGATTGGCAGTTCTGTGTGGGAATTGCCTTCCCTCGGGGTTTACCCAGATGATACGGGAAAGAAAAGAGAGGTGAGAGAAAGAATCCAAGGTTACAAGAGCATTGGACCATTACTCACAAGGCAGCTCTCTGCCGCCCCTCCTGGGCAGCTGCAAGCACTACACCGTGGTAACTGAGGGCTAACACCACCTCCTCTGAAGGGATAAGGTGGCTCACAGCAGCAACCTGGGCACGCACAAAGAACACCTCACCCACTCCCCACATACACACACGGGTGGGCATAGTGTTTTACCTGGGCTGCTATGTCGCTCAGTGCAGTGAAATCGTGATCAGTGCTAAGCAGGGCCGACTCTTGCCCAGGCCAGCCCATGAAAACTGGGGAGAAGAGAGAAAGGGAGTATTAGGAAGGAGGGCCTTCTGGAAGCTACCCCAGAGAAACTACAGCAGACAACAGCCCCCTGATTGGATCAAGGAGTGTTCTACTACAGGAGGAGGCTCGGCTTACTTCCTCTGAGCAGCATTGTGACCAAATACGAGTTTCAGATGGAGCTTCCAAGTCTGGTCTCTAAAGGGAGGGCCACTTTGTGGTCAGTTTGTAAGCCAAACCCCTTTTCTTCATTCACGAGGCCAGAAAACCAAGATCACAGACTTTGAGGGACATTGGTTCCCAGTGGCCTCATGAGAAGAAGGGAATGGGGAGGGGGACAAGGTCACAGCTGGAGGCTGAAGATTTTCATGCACTTTGCATCCTGCTACATCATCGCTCACACAGCTTGCTCTAAACCAGCGGTCGCCAACCTTTCGGACCTCACGGACCACCAGTGGTCCACGGACCACCGGCTGGCAACCGCCGCTCCAAAGGTTTCCTTAAACCAGTGGTCGTCAACGTTTCGGACCACTGGTTGGCGACTGCTGCTCTAGACAACCTCAGCTTGTCACACTCCTGGATCCCTCCTGCTTGGCCACTCTTTAAGTAACACTGTGCGTTAATAACTATCATTCACCAAGCCAGAGACCGGGCCCATTTTGTCCTTACATCTACCCACCAAGGTAGGTGTTAGCCTCTTTTCAAAAGATAAGAAAACGGAGGTTCAGAAGCCAGGTCAGCCTGACCCTAAAGCATACGCTATATAAAACTCTCAACCAATGTTCTTACACGTTATTCCTGTGGCCAAATCAGGGGACCGGCCAGAGGCCACACGTGGGCCCATCAGCAGCACCAGGCTCTGGCCCAGACCCCAGCGCTCATCGTTTTACTCAGCTGCAGCACAGCCAAGACCACAGGCCAGTCTGTGCCATGGAAATGTCAGGGTGAGGCCTTCCAACTGTCCTTTTTTGAAGAATCGTCCTTGAGGCTCAGTTGCTGATGACGGTGATTGTTTTTCTTTTAAATCCTTCTTTAGTATAAGAAAGGGTAACAGATGAGGTTTTTTGGTAAAGTACAAAAGTAGTGTGACCATGACAAAGTATTCAAAGAATTTAATATAAAAAAGTCAACTTCCAAAGGATTAATATCCAGAAAATACAAAGAACTCCTTAAAACTCAACAAAAACAACCCAAGTTGTTTTGGGGGCAGGCAGAAAACTTGAAAGGACATTTCTCCAAAGACAATATACAAGGAAGGACCAATAAGCATATGAAAGATACTCAATATCATTAGTCATTAGGAAAGAGCAAACCAAAATCACAATGAGGTACCTCTTCACACCCACTAGGATGGCTATATTTAAAAAAAAAAAAACAACAACAACCCACGTGGGCCCTGGCCAGTGTAGCTTAGTTGGTAGAGCTGTAGTCCTTTGCACATGCCTGAGTTTGGGACCTCATCCCCAGTAGGGTAGGTCAGTTGGTTCAAGCATCGTCCAATTCCCTAAGGTTGTAGTTTCGGTTCGATCTCTGGTCAGAGCACATACGAAGAATCAACCAATAAATGCATAAATAAGTGGAACAACAAATCTATGTCTGTCTGTCTCTCTCTCTCTCTCTCTCTCTCTCCCCCCCTTCCCCTCTCTCTAAAAATCAACACATTTTTACGAATGTGTAACACCCCCACCCCTCAAATGGAAGATAGTAAGTGTTGACAAGATGTAAATAAATTGGAACCGATATGCACTGGGAATGTGAAATAGTGGTTCCTCAAAAGGTAAACATAGAATTACCGCATGATCCAGCAATTTCACTTCTAGGTGCATACCCCAAAAGAATTGTGGAAATTCAGACAGATATTCATATACAAATTTTCATAGCAAAATTATTCATAATAGCAAAAAGATAGAAACAATCCAACTGTCCATCAAGAGATGAATAGACAAGATGTGGTTTATACATACAATGGAATATTATTCAGCCTTTAAAAGGAATACAGTTCTGATACACACTACAATATGAACAAACCGTGAACACATTATGCTAAGTAAAATAAGCCAGTCACAAAAGGACAAATACTGTACGGTTCTGCTTACATGAGGTACTTAGGATAGATTAATAGAGAAAGTAAAAGAGAGGTCACCAGGGGCTGGGGATTTACTGTTTAATGGATACAGAGTTTCTGTTTCAGAAGATGAAAAAGTTCTGGAGATGGAAAACGGTGATGGTTGCACAACATTGTGAAGGTACTTAATATCACTAAGTTGTTTACTTTAAAATCGTTTTTTAAATGGTCAATTTTTATGCATATTTTAGCTCAATAGAAAAGTGGAAGTCCGACATGAGAGTGTAAAATGGGACAGTCATTTTGGGAAACTGTTGGTCAGTATTTACTGAAGCTAAATGTACACATTCCCCAAGACCCAGTAATTCACTCTGAGATATAGATTCAACAAAAATACACTGACCAAAAGACATGTATTAAAATGTTCACAGCAGCACTGTTTATAATAGCTAAAAACTGGAAACAGCCCAAATGTCCATCAAGGTAGAATGGCTAGAAACATCATGGTATATTCACATAATGAAATGAATCAACTACAAGGACATTCTGGATGAATCTTACAAACATATGGTTCCCTAAGAGAAGCCAGATTGAACAGAGAACATATGCAGGATCCCATTAACATGAAGTTCAAAAACAGGCGAAACTAACCTACCGTATTTGCCGGCGTATAAGACGATTTTTTGGCCCTGAAAAATATGCCTCCAAGTGGGGGGTCGTCTTATACGCCAGGTACACTTCAGATACACTGCCCATAGTGCTTGCCCCGTGCCATAGTGGCCTTCCGATGCCCGCCCACTTCATTCCACATACCGTTCAGGCATCAGCAACGCTGCTGGGTGTATGCTCGGCTGTTATGCGATTTTGCTGTTATGCGATTTTACCACACTCGCAAAATCGCACACAGCCGACCATAACCCCAGCAT